AATATTTTCATTTTATTTATGTCATTATTTTGTTTGTTTGCGTCCCTTTAATCTCACAGTTATGGAGAACACATTCATACACTAAAACACCCACACCCAGCTAGACAGACACATAAGCTTACGAAGGTTTCTGGACTCATTTCACTCGTATTCTATAACCTATTTTGCAATTATAAATCCTCATTTAACTTCTAAACTTGCAAAAATTTTCTACATAGCTATTAATCATACAGAGGCAAGCTTACAGCATGAAGTAGAACCACTTATTACAGTATTTATAACTTAAGATAGTTTGCAACCTTGTTCCTAAATGGGTCTTTAAATATATAAAACCCAACAGTTAAAATGGACCTATCTATTGGTGGATGCTCATATTAAATATGGGGTCAGTGTATGTACCACTAAGTTCAGACTTCGGACCGCTCTAAATGCTCAGTTTAAGGCAATTTTTCTACTCTGTTGTCAAAGAGAGCAGATATTTACGGTGGCCCTGAGAGGTCAAACACACTGAACCTGCAACAACAGTTGCAGAAGTGACAGCAGAAACCAAAGCATGCGATTGCAATGAGACGATTAAAGAAAGCACAGAATCCATCTGTGTTGTGAAGGAAAATGAGATGCAGGTAACTGTGTTTTTAATCACATCGTTCATATGTTTGCTACGAGTTGTTTACTGTAGCTATTCATCACATCACTTGCATTGTGTTTTATTAGCTTTTATTTTATTTTATTGTATATTTTTTTTGTCTTTTGCAGGATTTTTCTATCTGCTCGTGTTTTCGTGTTAAGCTGCAGTGTGTTTGACTTGTCAGGGCTACTGTAGATATTTCTCATACGGTCTGAGCGCAAGTTTGTGGAGGGCAGTGAGTCAGAGGAAAGCTGGCATGAAGAGAGAAAGCTAAAAGCGACAAGTTTTAAGGTGGAGTGTTTCAAACATTGAGATTTCCTATTAAATAACCTCAAAAAATGACCGACTGTACCTTTAAGAGCATATTTTTATTTCTAATGGTGGCCTTTTAGCTCAGATTTGCTATAAAAGTACCTTTAAGTATGACAGTAGTTTCACCTGTAGTAGTAATAATATAATAATAATAATAATAATAATAACAGAGTAAAACTGAACTGTTAGTACTTTCTCAAATTGTAAACAAATATAGGTTAAAACACATGTTGCGGTGGTCTTTGGCTATGGTTCATTTCAGTACATGATGAACCATGTAGATATCATTTATATTCCTAAGTATACTCTATGTGATAAGAACTACTATAAGTAGTATACGTCTACTGTTTCAGTACTTTGTATACATCTAACTCAGCAACATTATACTTCCTGTTTTTATTCATTATAAATGTGTATTGATAGATATTAGAAAGCTACTTTAAACCAGTAAAAAAAAAAAGTCATCAGGTTTAGTCTCTTATGTTTTGTTTTCAGAGTGAATGTCTAATCTCTGTCCACCCATGATCTATTTTGTCCTAAACCCTTTTCTCCGTACTGTGCCAGCGCACACTCACCATCTCCATTTATATCAATCCTGTCAAACACTCGGTTAGTGAACTCCTCCGCAGATGTTTCCTGATTTTCATTTCCATTGATTGCGCGGATGGCCTGGGAGAAGATGAGGAAAATCAGTATGTTTGCCAGATTAGAGGCTAAAACAAATATTCAGACATGCAGTGTGGCTGGTGCACGATGGAATGACTGTACCTTGATGATGTTCAGAAGCTCGTGGCGGTCAATGCAGCCGTTCCCATCCACATCATACAGTTTGAAATACCAGCGCAGCTTGTGCTCCATCTTTCCCCGCATCACCAGACTCAGAGCGGCCACGTACTCCATGAAGTCTATGTAGCCGTCCTGCAGAATCAAAGTGTCAACCACGACCATCCATGTTTTATATTCATTATAATCACTAAACAAATGCATCATCCCTCAGCTGAAATAGATCCCCAGCTCCAAAAACAATCCAAGGGGAAGTGAAGCACGCCAGGACGGAGGATTATCTCCTGTCTGCGTCTAAACAATCTCAGCATCAAAGCATGCATTCACAGATAATCTCACTGTCTAAATCATTCAGAGATTACCGTGGCATTTTTTGTAAGCTGAGCAGGGTGGGGGGCTAAATATAGCATGCAGCTCCTCAGACAGACATCCTGCCATGACCCCACTGCTACCTCAAAGATGCTCTCAATTAAACTGGGGATCAAAGGGGATACAGGGGACACACTCTCCCTATACTTAGAACATGCTTTTGCAAGTCTAATATATTTTGATATTTAAAGTCTTTCTGTTAAATTGTTTTTTTTTTCCCCACATGGGTTTTCCAAACAGGCAGGAATTTCCTAGATATGTTGGTGCCTCACATTCACACTGGGTAGGACAGGTAGATTATGCACCCTACACTGAAACCACAAATCCAGGTATGACATCATCTGTTTTGTTTCTGTTTCTGTTGATTTTGCTTCTGTTTTTTGTGTGTCTCTGTAGTTTAATGGCGTCTTTGTGGTTGTTTTGCATGTATTGGTGTTTTCTTTGAATGTCTTAGAGGTATTTTTATCTTTGCTTGCATCGATTTGTGCACGTTGCACCTTTTTAGTAAGCTGTGTCTTTCAGTATAAAGTTTTCAGTCTCTCTGCAGATGTTTGGACTATATTTGTGTCTTTATAGTTGCCACATCAGCCTCTGGACCAGCCTGTCTGATGCGCAGTTTATTCATATATTCAAGCTTGTTGTAAGGGAGGTTAATTTTAGAGAACTCGTGTCCTTGAATGATACAAGTATTTTTAATCTAGACATGTTTTAAGAAGTTTTTTCTCTCATTTGTTTATTTTAAATGTAACATTAAAGATTTCAGAAGCAAGGAACAGACCATCTCAATTAACAGAAAGTAACCGTCAGGGAATATCAAAGTAATATTTTCAACCCGCAGATATGAGGAATCCCAAACACTTATCTGTAAAAAACAGATAATTTTTCTACAATTTCTCATATTATGAAAGAAATAACTTTTTGCGTAGTCAACGTTCAGATAAATGTGGTAAGCAGCTATTTTTTTAAATAAAATATTTAATGCATTCAGTCTTATTTTACCTTTTTAACATTAAAAATAAAAAATCGATGAATTACTGGTAATATTTTGTGCTTTTTCTGCCTTTTTCATTATTGTGAATACACTATGTTATGACTCCTGTAGTTAAAAAATAATAATTCATCAGAACTTCCAAACATCAATTACAAATATGTAAATCAACAAAAACCAGCCTAAAGAATTAACTTTTTCTAATTGTGTCTAATTTTAATTAAAAGTTAATGTTTTTGTCACAAATAATAACAAGATAAAAGAGAAACAGTAATAATTTGGGTTCAAAGGAAATATGCAGGTAACATAAGCTTATATTTTTATTTAACATGTACATATGACACATTATAATAAATCCCTCATGGAGATACACACTGTTTAGACACACGTGTTGAGAACTAAAGAAAATTATTTGCTCATGTTTCATTTTCAGAGAATCATAGATGTATTCTTCTACATTAGCTTCTAATCGTTATATCGTTATTTTATTCTTGAGGCATCCTGTCATCTTTGATTGTGTTTAAATGTGTGGTGAAATCCAGACTCATCTCACCTTGTTCATGTCAAACGTGCGAAACATCTGCTCAATGTAGGCGTTGGCCTCTGGGTCCAAACCTCTCATCCCGAAGAACTGCTTGAACTCGTGCAGGGTGAGCTGCCCTGAGGGGCACTCAGTCATGAACTTCTTGTACCACAGGTGCATCTCCACAGCCTGCAGGTCGTCCACGGTGCAGCCGTTTGAATTGCCCATTTTTTATTTTTCCAAAACTCAGATAAGGTAGCTGGACTCTGTTACAAGCTGGACTCAGACCTCACAGCCCAAGTGGTCTACTGTGAAGTAGGCAAAGACCGTCCCTCTTCACAGTCACACAACACTGGGACTTTTAGAGTGAGAGCAGTGGCAGGATGGCCCCTTTTGTAGCTCAAGCGTGTGTGTGTAGAGGGGGGGTTGAGGTGATCCACGCCTCTTGGTCCTCTCCTTGTGTCTAATCACTGGCTGTAATCCTGAGAAACATGCAGATGATCATCTTATTCATCCAGCTTGAAGGGCAGCCTGGCTGTTCCACAATTACCCTGAGATGTGCTGACAGACACAAATGCAGCTTTCATCCCTCACGTGCAGTGCCTGCCTCTAAGCGATGGGATGCATCTGCCTCAGCATGTGGACTCGGGTATGAGCGATGCAGATTTAATGCTTTGGGTGAAGACTAAGCAAGCTTCAAAACATTCTCATAGTTCTTCTGTGTACGTTCTATTTAGACCTATGATATAAGTTAATGTTGACGAATTTAAATGTTTAAAATGACCAGGGGCCGGTCTCATCAAACCCACAAAGTCAAAACAATTGCAAATCAAATTTCTGGTACCTGCAACTTTTGCTAAAAACATCAATCAGCATTCTATTGGTGATTATTAGTGTGGTTTTTCCACACTCGTAAAAGAAGTTTAGGCAGTTTGTTAAATAGGAGCGTTCAGGTATGCATTAACAAAATCCAGAAAAAAATATTCTTCCACAACGATGTGTGAGACTGATAAAGTTACAGAGAAGACGATTACTTCGTGTTACTGCTGCTAAAGCGGGGGTGTACTCACTTTTTCACGCACTGTTTCTGCATTTCAACTTTTTTTTGTTAGATAATATCTAAGTATGTATGTAATATGTAGCTACTTGTTTCATTAATAAAAAGGCCAAAGCAAGTTTCTTTAAGAGACCCTGTTTGGCATGCTGTTTAATAATTATCCTGTGAAACAAATATCTTTATATATCGCAGGTTATAAATACTCTGTTTATCCTTTAAGCCATTTTTAATCAAGAAAAAAAAAGCTTCAACAGCATCAGCTTTTCTGTGGATTTTTTAAAAAATGAACCAGAATTAGAAGGTTACTACAAATGATCTCATTAGAGAAGTTTATTTGGATACCACAGATTAATGCCAACAAGGCGTTACAGTTAAAGTTAGTGTATTATTATATCAAAACACAGAAAATAAAATGACATTCGTGTCTAAGTGCTTTCATATGAAATTAAACATCAGTGCTTTGTTACAATGATTTTGCAGTCAAACTCAAAAGCATACATGTGTTGTGTTCTGCAGCTATGAGTGCATTTTAATTTTAACAGCATATTCTTGTAAATGTCATAAAAAGACATAACAGATATATACTCTACATGTTAGTGTTTAAACTTCTTTTAAATAAAAAAAAAATATATATATGTATATACTGTATATACTAAAATTCATTTGGGGATCATTTTAAAGGTTAAACTAAAAAAAAAAAGTGTTCTTCCTGCAGATTTGCATTAGCTTTCATTACCCTGTGACAGAAGGTATAACGGATGACTGGCCTGGATATTCAGCTTCCAATAGTTTGGAAGAGCTTCTCCGAAACATGGATATTTATCCACACATACATCAACAGACGTATGTTACAAAATAAACTACATTTTAAAAGCTTAAAAAGGTAAAAAGCTTCAGTAAGGCATTATCTTCACTCTTTGTTCAGCTTCATATTCATTTACAGTGTCCTCTCTAGGTCTACTGCCCATGTAACATGGTTGGACACAGTTATAACAGACGAATAAAATCACTGTGGTGGCACATCAGAGTCCGGGCAGATCTCTCTGGCCACACCATGGATGCTTTTCCTTTTCTTCCAGTGCAAGTGTCTGTAGATGGAGTCAAAAACTGCCACCGTGTAGTGTGCAAACAGGCTTGTCCACTTCACTGCATCCACCATCCACTGCACTGAGCGTCCAGCAAATGCCACAAACACTGTGGTGTAGTGTGCCAGCAGCAAAAGGCTCCTCCCCAACTGCTTGCAATGGTTGATGAGCAGGTGGACTCTTTGATCATGCCTTACCATTATTATAATTTGCTCTGTATTGCTCTACAAACAGATATGATTTTTTTTTAATACCAGTCTTCGTTTTCTTAGTGTATATGTTTATGTAGATACTCCCCGACGAGCAGTAGGCGCTTGTAAATTTGCACACAGTCCCTTACACACGTAGCTCCCGGTCGTCCAATCAGAGCAGAGGAAGTTTTGTTTCCGGGAATGTTTGGTGATGTGGCTCTGCTCTGAAATCCATCCGAGGAAATATATCAAATAAAAACCAGACACATTTACCTGGAAAGCACTCGTACAGGTGAGGCAAAAGTGTTTTCTTTTAAAAGCCCACCCCTGACTGGGCTACATAACAGAGCTGTCATGCACAGAAGAGCGAAACTCTGCGAAGCCGCTTTAAAAGACGCTGTCCTTATTTACCTGTTATCAGCGTCAGCTAGCCGAGAGCTCCAGCTAACTTGTTACCGTATCGTGGAAACTACGGCCGCAATAAACGGATGTTTTCACAGAGCATCCTGTTCACGGCGCCGTCTCCTCATCTTCAGATGTATTTGCTGGTTTCTGAAAACATCAGCATCCAGCCGCTCGGAAAGTGTTCCCGTCCATTTTCGCGTTAGCTAGCTTATAATCTTTGCTGTTCTCAAAAAGAATGACGCAGCCGCAGTGGAGCGTCCAGTAGGTTCGGAGAGATTCGGCTCTGTCCGCTCGAGCTCGGAGAACTTAGTGGGAATTTATGCTTCGGGGGAAAATATACACAGAAAAATACGTCGCAACCGCAAACTTCTGTGAAATCCAACGACCTAAACGACGACTTAACCTAGTTCTTGTTTTTCTTCTTTGGACCTCAATGGGGGGGCAGACCAACAGCGCACACCTCCCTAGAACTAAAACGAAACGACCCGTCGTCGTAGCTCGCATCTGCTGTGATTGGTCTGTTCAGTACCCTCCTAAGTACCCTCCTAAGTACCCTCCTAAGCATTTCCGCAGTGGGAGAATAACAAACATCGCCTAGGAATAATAATTGAGATAATAGTATAAAGATAACGACTGACCAATCTCAGCAACTTCCTGGAGGGAAATTGCTAAAACTATCGGAATGGGCGTGAGGGGATCTACAAAGCCAAGTGGGAAAAACTTGAAAATTCCCAGCATTTTGCTTCTATAAAAAACAAAACAAATTACTGACTGGTACAGCATATAAAAACACTAGGGCACCACCATATTGTCATGAAAGCATACACTTTGATTTGTTGTATCTAATATGTTTGCTTATATTGGTTGACAACAAGATTTGTGTAGGAGCTATATATATTTTTTTTAAAAGTTACCCGTTTTGCAAGTATCCCTATGATACTAAGTGGTGTTAAGCTAAGCTAAAAACTGAAGAGATTTTTGGCTTTTTTTGTTTGTTTGTCTTTTGGCAGAAAAAGTTTGATAAATCTGACAAAACAACCTGTTTGCAGTTAGTGGCACTTTAATTGCTTTTGTAAAGCTTAAGAAAGACATTTGACCTGCTGTCAGAGCTGCAGATGATTAAACAAATTTGTCTACTTTGCTTCTGCAACGATGTGAATTTTCCTTCTCTGGGACTAATAAAGGCCATCTCATCTCAATATTTTTAAAATTTCCTGCTCGTTTTGGCTGAAGAACTCTCAGCCAAACCTCAGAACATTTTATACAATTGATGACAGCAGTGCCTTTGTGTGATGGGATAATTCATAACCTGCTACCTCCAAGTTTTGACCTTTACTCTCAAACACGCCTCTTTCCACTGCCTGCCTGTGCACACAAAGGAAAATCAATATGTTTGTATTCATGCCTTCACAGAAAGTGTTATAATTTCCACCACATTTGATGGGATACATAAATTTTACAGGAATAAATTATTTTTCCAACCTTTAATGTGATCACCTGTAAAATTCAAATGAAAAACAAACAAATCTGTTATAGCACTTCCTCACTCTTCTTTACAAAAGCGCTCCAAAGGTGTCAGATTGCGAGGGCATCTCTTGTGGACAGCCCTCTTGAGGTCACCCCACAGATTTTCCTTTGGATTTAGGTCTGGGATCTAGCTGGACCATTTGAAAACTTCTATTTTCTTGTGATGAGCTCATTCTTTAGTTGACATGGATGTATAATTGTCTCCATGGTTGTGTTGAAAGTTAAAATCCCTTTTATCTTCAGAATTCTAGCAGACACCTGAAGGTTTTAGGGCAAAAGTGACTGGTATTTTGAACTGTTCATAATTCCCTCCACACTGACTAAAGCCCCAGTTCCAGCTGCAGAAAAGCAACCCAAAGTATGATACTGCCTCCACCATGCTTCACCATGGGTATGGCATTCTGTTGGTGATACAAAGTGCTGGTTTTGCACCAAGTGTACCTTTTGGGGTTGTGGTGTTGGGGTTAAACAGGCTCTTAAATTGAAGGGAAGTGTGGACAAAAGAAGACTGAATGCTTTAACAAAATATTAGTGTGAGGGTGTGCACAGGTATGCAACCAGTTTATTCTACATTTCATTTTTTTATGGTAGTCTCGTATTTTTAACATCATAAAAACCTGGCATTTTGACAGGGGTGTGTACAGTTTTTATATCTGCTGCATATAAAATTTGTCACATATCAGTACGGGACATAATTTATGCATTAGAGGTTCATCTAGACTGAAACCCATGATTTCTTTTTCTTTTTATTTATTTATTTTTTTACTTTCACAGTGCCATCTTTATGTTAAGCCGTCTGGCCACAGTCCTCCAGGAGCTCTCTGGAGAGGAGGGCCAAGATGGAGAACAGCAGGTGAGAGAGCATCAGATAAATTTTAACAGAAGAGAGATTTTGAGCCAGCAGTGTCCCTGGTATTTAAAGGTGTAAACTTTATGTTGAAGAATCAGAGCTTTAATTACTCCTTTTACAGGGCACGCTAGTGCCTCAGCTCCCTTCTGATGACGGTCAGGCTCCAATGGGGTCAGAGGTACCTGAGGAGGCCATGGAGAGGCTGGCCCACCTGGAACAACTGGTGGTCCAACTGAAGGAGCTCATCCGAGACAAAGATACCCAGCTCCTCCAAAAGGACACTGAGCTGACCAACAAAGATGCTCAGCTTAAGGTAAGTAAACCTTTGTGTGTTTGTGCTTGTGGGTGATCCTTCATACTTTGACTGTCATATTTTGAGTGTTATTTTGCTTCACGTTACAGAACGAGAGAGAAGAAGCTGAGGCCCGTTTCACCAAACTCAAGCTGCAGGCCAAAGCCAAGATGGCGTCGCTCACAAAACAGATAACTGAGCTAAAAGGACAAGAAGGCACAACAGTGAGTTTTAGTGCGGTTAAAAGTTGTGAAGCGAAGGCAGCTAACACCATTGGGTCTAATGCAAAAAAATGGACATTAATTGATTTGTTGTTTGTGTAGACAAGGACACGCAGCTGGTTAACCACACACCAGCAGTAAAGCTCATGTCCTTTGATTTGATCTGACTTGAGCATCTGTTCTGTCTGCAGCAGAGTCCAGACAGCTCTTTCACTGGAGCCGGCGCTGCAGTCGAAGAGGAGCTCCAGGAGCTGAAGAAGAAGCTGAGCGAGGAGGAAGCCAGGAGCCGGGAGCTTGAAGAGCGACTTCTGGCCTCTGAGCAGCTACTACAAGAGAAGGAGGTTGCCCATGCTGAACAGGTGATGCAGAATATCTGTGGGTGTAGACCTTTAAAATTACTACTAGTGCTATCTCTGAATGGGTTCCCTTACTTTCAGCTGCAGAAACTGCAGGCGGTGGTCTGTGAGAAGGACGTGCGTTTCCAGGAACAGATTCAGAAACATGAAGAGGAGCTGCTGAAGGCAACCGTGCAGTCTCAGGATGAGGGCAAGCTTCAGAAGGTAAAAGATTGTCAGTTTATTTCTCTAGCATAAGTAACAAATTAGGCTGTGGTTTCTTCATTACTAGCTGACTGATTCCACCTGTACTAGATGTACTGTTGTTTAACTTTGTATTAAGTGTTTAAAACGGGACAGAAACCCTGACATATTGTATTTGTTCCATACAAATTGCAATACAAATAGTGGCTTATGTGAAATCTGACATAGCTGCTACTGTTTCTGAGGCCTTATTAAATTTTTGTAGCCCAAAATCATCCATGTGGCATAAGAATGATGCATCATTAAATGGTTTATCAGGGGAAAAGGGGGGACCTTTGCTCCTAAAAGTGTCAATGAACTACAATCAACCTTGGGGTCATAAACACACAGTTTCAGTTTGTGAAGCAGTGAAAGTGCACCATAGTTTCCACCCTTCACATATACATTGACGGTGCATTACACGCTGCCTGTTTTTATGGTGTTTTCCTCAGGCCCTGCATGCAGCTCAGCAGCGCTGTGAGGAGCTCGAAGAGGCCCTGATGTCTCGTGCAGGAGAGCTGGAAATGCTGCAGCAGGAAGTGAGCAGTGCTGATCAGCAGAAACAGGTACAGATCCTGTTTGATTAGATAGCTGATATGATTGTTTGCCTGCTTAAAGCTTGTTGGTTTTGACGCTGTTCTACATTATAGCAGTTATTTGCGCATGATAAAAAGATGATCAAACAAAGACACGCCCTACATTTTGATGACAAGTTGTTATTATTATACGTTGTTTCTCTAAGCTAGATAAAAAACACCCACTCATACAGTCTTTTTTTGTTCTCCTCAGATCCTGACTGGTCAGTTCCGGCAGATGGAGCAGGAGCTGGCGGAGGCCGCCAAGCTGAGGGAGGAGGAGAAGCAGCAGTGGGCCGAACAGGCGAGCAGGGCTGATGCAGAACTCGCGGGTCTTCGAGCCAGCCTGGAGGCCCTGGAAAGAGAGAGAATGGAGGTGGTGAAGCAGGAGAGCGAGCTGGCCTCCCTGAGAGAAGCAGAGCGTGCGAGTCAGGAGGCGCTGGAGAAGGAGAAGATGGAAGTCGCCAGATTGCAGGCAGAGCTAACTGTGATGAAAGAAGCTGAGCTTGTAGCCACACAAACAAGTGAGAGAGACAGGGTGGAAATCGCTCGGCTTGAAGGGGAGCTTTCGTCAGTGACAGAGGCAGAGTCTGCAGCTGTCCACGCCAGGCAGGACGCCTCGGAGAGGGAGAAATCTGAAGTGGAAAAATTGGAGAAAGAACTTGCTTCCCTCAGGGAAGAGCAGGAAGATATGCAGAAGAAGGGCGAGCTCTTCACTGAAATCTGGAAGCTTCTACATTCTCTGGCTGAAGAAAATGTGAGCGAGGAGATCCCTGTCCCCGTTGACCCGTCTCATCTCCTGGGCACCGTGCACTCCATCGAAGCACAAATGACGAGACTGAAAGACAAATGCAGTGCAAGTGAGGAACAATGTGCCCACCTCACTCACAGCATGGAAACTCTGCAGGGTATGAGTGCTTATCTTGACGTCTGTTTGTGGGATTCTGTGAATGAATCTTTTTACTAATACAAACATCTTATTTTCAGAACAACTTGAAAGAAAAACTACAGAACAGGAGGAGACCAACACTAAGATACAGCAGCTGGAGCAGCAAATTGTAACTGTGAGTACAAAAGTACAGAAGCAACTTTTAAACCTGCTGAAGTCTGACAGTTGTGGCCCTGCTTGACCCTGGCTCACTTAAACCTTTGTTTGTTATTCCCACTGTTGCCTAGTTCTTGTTCATATGGCATCATAATTGATCATTGGGATTCTCTATAATATTACAGGGGGTTTACCGCTACACTTATTTTATTTATGAAGTCATTCCTTTGCTCATACCTTTCTTAAAAAAGTTTAAGTTGTTGTGTTGTTTTTAGTTGTGCGTAGTGCCGACGTGGGACAGTTACCAATTTTGTTGTACTATTGTACTAGGTATGACTGTGCAATGACAATAAAGAGTTGTCTTATCTTATCTTATCTTACACCACTAAGGTGAACTCAACAATACTTCTCATTATTAATTTCATCTTTATTATCTTGAGGCTCTCCACACCAGTCCCAGTTTTTCATGAGGGAAAATTAATTTCCCACCTGCACCTGCCTGACAGCATAAATGTCATTTAGATGAGTGTTTTTGTGAAGTGGTGCTTAACTGAAAATGGAACTCAGTAGTAGTAGTAATAGCTATAGGCTGTATTTAAAAGAACGATGTAGTCACAGTGTCACTCATCTGTGCGTGGACTTGGTTAGTATTTTGTCCTTTCCCATGTTGGGAGTTTTTTTGGAGCTAGGAGTGACCATAACAGTGGAGTGCTAAACTACCAGCTAATGCTAGCTAGCTTGGTTAGGCTGTATGGGTAAGCAATTGCAGTTACCTGTTACTCCAGAGATGCTACAGTGCTCGACGTGTCCTTTCTGAATGCATTGCAAACCGATCTCAGTATGCAAATAAATTGGTTGTGACCCACAGCCAGCAAAATGGCGCACACCCAGGAGGGAGGGACACAAGGGTGTTTTTCATTTTCAAAGGGCAAAACTTACAGCTACTACTCAGAAAGACTGGGTGGTGTAAATGGTGTCCTAAAATAGAGGGCTTAAATCTTGCAAATACTTACCTGTTTGTTTAACACAGGATATAAGCAGCCTGGTTCACTAGAGATACACATCACAAAGCAGTCCCAAATAAGCTCTGTGATGACATGAAAGCTTTATCATCTCTACGGAGCTTCAGCCTGAGTTTCTTAGTGTCTTTGTCCTGCGGTTCTTTTATGGCATCTCTGTGTTTATTATTAGAAAAAGTGTGAGACTGGTAGCTGAGTATAAGTACTTCTGCGGATGTAGACGTGTCATTTGTACGTTTTGCCATCCGTCAACAAAGTCAACCTTTGTTTTGAGATCGGGACGGTCAAACTGGTTTTATCGGCTACTCCCAGTCCAGGTCACAGCTTCAGTCTGGACAGGTGATCTCTGTCAGACTCAGACAGGACAGCAGACAGACAATACTTCATGTCTGTGTTAGGAATATCGTCTAATCCCTCCTGGGCTGATCTGATGGTCAGACTGACTGACCCGACCGACATACAGCCTGCTGCTGATAGAGATTTAAACTAGACGAGCAGCCTTGGAGGGTTTCTGTATCAGTTTTTACTAATGTTTTAATGTTTTATATGCTTTATATACTTTATTGGTCTGATTTCTATTTAGTTATATTGTTGAATGGTTTTAGCTTTGTTTAAGCACCTTTCACTTTTATTTTGAAAAGATTAAAAAAAACATATGATCATCAAGTTCAAAGCACAACAAGAAGTCTTCTCCTGCATCCTTTCAAACTTAGTTTAAAGTCACAACACTGGTAAGAGTAGTGTAAACACAAAAAATGACATTTACCTGTGGACTGGGTGAATGTCAAAATCCTTATCCACTAGCTTTCTGCTTTTTGTGTAATGTGAAATGTCATTGTGGTTTCTTTGTTGAAGTCCTTTTTTTGCACCGTTGTAGTTTGCAGGATGTCTTTAAACTTGTCGCTTTTTGTTGTTGTTGTTCTTTTAGATGTCGGAGAGACAAGAAGCGGCTGAACCAACACAGGATTCATCTGAAGCTGAAAAAGGTACGGTATGATTCCTAAAATAAATGCACTCATTATTTGGAGACAGAATCGAACAGGAAGTTAAAATCTGTATAAAATATTTCTTTGAGATTCCAGAGTTTAACAGAAGGCTTCCATATTTGTTTGTCTTTATGAGGGCAGTCCATTTAGGAATGAGAATGACATTCAGGTCCTAATTTAAACCATTAAATAAGGTTGAATTATGTTGCTTTTAAAATCGTTTGACTAAATTAATTTTTCCTCATTTATTAAAAAAATATAATGAAGGTGAAATCAGAGTGGATTTTCTTTAGAGTGAAGGTGTCTCTACTTTTATTCTGTGAGTCATGTTTCACTGCAAGAGTCCCACTTACAGATAGAATAAATTAATAATAAAAATATCATCCCACATTCATAAATATACATCTATAAAACTACAGTAGAACTATAGAAATACATCACAGCATTTTATTATTCTGTATACTCATTGCTTTTAGACACAAATGATCTTTATCATTATTATTATTATTATTTATTTTTGTATGCTGATTATATACGTACAGTTTTTCTTCAACCACGGTGACATCCAACACATTTTGATCTCAGGAAGGCTGAACATAAACCACCTGCTTTTCTTTAAATGTAAAGAAGTGCACTGTAAAATTCTTAATATTTACATTACAAAGTCTTTGAAAAGTTCATAAGAAAATTTTTATTAAAAAATCGTTTTATTTTAATCTACTCATATTTGGTAAGTGTTTATAATTTCAGCAGTGTGTTTTTCACATTCAGTCTGCCATTGCGACAAATAAAACCTGCTGTTGTAAATCAAAGAAAGGTGTCAGTGCTGAGCTTCTGCTTGTCCACCCTACTTTGGTGTGACAGAGCAATAAGGAAGCTGTAAAACCGACAATAATTCAGACCTCAGGTTTAACTAAATTTAAAATTCCTGACAACCGTTCTCAGAACTCGATCCATTTTTAACAACTTGATCCATTTTCTGTAAGTTAAACACTTTGCACAGACATCCAGTGAACTTTCTGTTCCTTTGCCGCCAACTGTATGTTTCACACTCCTGGGCCAGACAAGCTAAGATCATAAAAATGTTCTTTGGCTTTATTTGTCAGGTTATATATTCGTTTTCTGAATGCCAAATTATCTATGTGAACTTTGAACAATATCGTATTGCAGCAGCACACACCCTCTGTTGGTGTTTGTTTTTAGACTGCACTTGCATTTGTTTTTGATTTGGTACTGCTTACTTTAGATCATTCTTATCATTCGTTTCCTATTTAATTTTATCTCACAGCACACATACTGGCCCTGGAACAGCAGCTGCTGGAAAAAGACAACGAGCTGGTTGTTTTGCGAGAATCCCTCATACTTGCTAATAAGCAAAGCTTAAGTGAGCTTTCACCAAATGAAAACTGTGATCAGACCCCAGATCAGGTTGAGGATGCTGTTACGGCTCCCCTCGATAGCTCTGCAGCCCTTTCTGACTTCATGGCAGACACCCAAGAAGAAGAGAGCACTTTAGTTGCTGGGGACACCTCTGTTCTCTCCATTTCTGCTGAGAATCAGAGCAGTCCAGAGCTAATAGGAAACCAGTCAGATTCCCCAGAGGAATCCAAAGGCACCTCATCCGATGAAATGGTCGCCAGTAGTGATTCAGAGGTGGCTCACAGCAGCTGGACACTCCTGGAAGCTGTGAATCAAGATGGAGGTCAAGAATGGCCCTCCATCGTCCAGGACTTTGGTCAGTCGTGGGTGGCGACAGGCATGGAGCAAGAAACCACCACAGTTCAAGTCGAGTCCTCATCTGTCGTCATCAGAGAGACAGTTCAGGTTCATGTAAGTCAGCAGAGTTCTTCCTCCTTGTCCCATGAAGCCAGTGCTCACTCTGGCCAGGTCTTCGCTCAGGCCTTAGCTGAGGAGCTCCAAAAGAGGTACAGTGAACTTCTGGCTGAGCTGCAGAGGCTCAGAGAGACAGCTGCAGAGTCACAGGAGAAAATAAAGAGTCTGGAAGAGGAAACAGAATCCCTAAGTGCTGCTAAAGAAGAGGCTGAGTCCAAGGCTGCGAGTTTAGCAGAGGAGCTCGGTTCAGCCAGAGAGGAGCTAGATAAACATTCCCAGGAAAGCAGCTCTGTAGCGAAGAAGCAGAGCGTTGAATTTCAGCTTCTTGAAGAACAGATAGACATTTTAAACACTGAGAATAAAACCAAGGAAGACCGATTTCAGGCTTTGCAGACAGCTCTGGAAACGGCCCAACATGCTCTCTCTGAGCAGGAGGGTCAGGTTAGGATGCTCAGCACTCAGCTCGAGGAAAGAGAACTCCTCGCCTCTGAGCTGGAGAGGAGGCTTCAAGACATGGAAAGCAGCATGTTGGAATACTCCCAGACATCAGATCTCAACACTGAGTCTTTGTCAAAGAAGGACTCTGAGATTAGCGAGTTACAGCTTCGTCTCAATCAGAAAGAGCAGGAGATGCTGGAGCTCAATGACAGCATGTCTGCTAGACTCCTTCAAGCAGAAGAAGAGAAGTTCCAGATTGACAGTGAGATGAACAAACTGAAGGAGAAGATGGAAGAACTTCAGAAGGTTAAAGAGGAGGAGAAACAGCAAGAGACCACTGAAGACTCACCTGTCCTTGTAGACGATGAAGTTGCTTGCTTACGGCAGGAGAAAGAAGTCATGGAAAAGCAGCTGACAAACACAAAGAAGAAGCTGCAGGCAGCACTTGTGCAGAGAAAAGAGCTCATGAAGAAGGTTTCTGACTTTGAGGCAGAAGCGAAGAAATGGAGCAAGAGGGATGAGGCAGCAACGGGAGAAATTCCTGAAAAGTCAGAAGGACACAAGATTGAGGAGATGGAGGTAAAACTTGTGGAGCTCGAGCAAGCTTTAAGATCCAAAGAGGAGGCAGTTGAGAGTCTTGAGCAAAAAATAACAAAGCAGGACCAAGTTCTCGCTGAGACTCTGGCTTTGAATAGAAAGCTAAGTGAAGAAGCTGAGATTTCTCCTGAAACAACCGCATTACAATCTCAGGTGACGTATCTCGAAGCAGAGTGTGAAACGCTGCAGAAGAAGCTTCAAGAGGTGCAAGAGTCTCGCAAAGAAACTATCCGTAAGGCAAAGGAAAAAGACCGGCACCATCGCGAACAGCTCAAGCAGCAGAAAGAGGAATACAGTGGCCTTATGGAGCGTTTTGAGGTCCAGAGCAGTGAACAGAAAGTTCTTCTCACTAAACTGAGAGAACTAGAAGGAAAGGTGAGTGATGAAAGAGAAGATCCGACTCCTCAAGAACCAAAACACAGGGTGGAAAACATGGAAAAGCCTTCGGGAAATGTTTGGGTCCAGGAGGACTGGGTTGATTTTGCTTCACCTGAGACTGATTCATCACAACCGCAGTCCAGCGATCCATGTCAGCCTACGTCTGAGGTCCTCTCTGAACAAATGGAGGATTCTCTGAAAACTCTCAGAGAGGAGATCCAGACTCTACGGACAGCAGGTGAGGAACTCGAGAAGCAGCTGCAGGAAACCCAGGCCAGCCTGTTGCAGAAGGATACTGAGTTATTGGAAGTGGGCAAAGAGCTGCAAGCACTCAGAGAAAAGGAAAGGCAGATTGATGCACTTTCTGCAGAAGTTGATGACCTCAGAGAGAAGTATCGCCAAGCCGAGTCTCACGCTGAAGCCCTAAAAGCAGAAATGGACGCTGCAGCCAAAGCAGCAGCCGCAGAGTCCTCGTCTTCAGTCGCAGCTCTTCAGGATGAAGTCGACAGCTTCAAGCAGTTTCTCGACAACAAGAATGTCGAGATAATGGAGCTCAGTCAGCAGCTGAGTGAGCAGAACATACTTATAAATTCTATGCAAGACACAGTGGCCCAGAAGGATCAGCTGATAGCTTCATTACAGGATGAGCTGAAGGCCGAAAAGGAAAAGTCACACAAGTTAGAGGTTGAGGTTCCACAGAAGCAAGAAGAGGACAAAGACAGCGAGGAGAAAATCCAGCAGCTTCAACGAAAGCTTCAGGCTGCTCTGATCTCTCGCAAAGAGGCTCTTAAAGAGAACAAAACCCAGAAGGAGCAGCTCGCTTCGACCGAGAAGGTTATAACTGAGCTACAGCAGAAAATTGAATCTGCTGAAGATGAGCTGGAGAAGCTGAGAGCTGAAAGAGTTCGACTGATTGAAGAGGTTGACCGGACATTATTGGAGAACCAAAGTTTAGGATCCTCGTGCGAGAGCCTCAAGCTGGCAATGGAAGGTGTACTCAATGAGAAAGATGCCTGCAAGAGAGAAGTGGAGCTGGCAAAAGAAGAAGCGGCCAGAACATGCAGAGGATGGGAGGAAAAGGTTCAGACCATGAAGGATGAGTACGAGACACTTCTCAAATCTTATGAAAATGTGAGCGATGAGGCGGAGAGAGTGAGACGAGTCCTGGAAGCTGCGAGGCAGGAGAGACAGGAGCTGGCGGCAAAAGTCAGGACTCATGAGACGGCAAGGCAGGAAGCTGAAAGACAAGTGGAGGAAGCGCAGAAGGAGGTCAGTGCAGTGAAGGATAAAATGAGAAAGTTTGCCAAAACAAAGCAGCAGAAAATTTTAGAGTTGGAGGAAGAGAACGAGAGGCTCAGAGAGATCCAAGAAAAGCCGTCAATAAAACAAGAAGACAGAGCTCCTGGGGATGAACTTGAGCAGCTTCAAGAGGAGCTGAGAGCTTTGAAAGCTGAGCTACATGCTACAGTGGCAGAAAGAGACTCTTTAGGGCAGCGGATTGAAGGTCTGAGGGAAGAACTTGCCCAAATGAGAGAAAAGGAAGAGGTTGTCAGTGCCCAGAAATCAGATGCAAGTACGATGACAACAGAGCCTGCTGAGATTCAGAATGAGGACAAAGAAAAACCAGTAACGCCAGAAGAGATTCAAGATGACCAAATAGTGGCAGCAACTGCAAAAGAAACCCATTCGCAACCTGTCGAAGAAAATGAAAAAGCAGAAATGAGTGAAAAAGCTCAGATGCTACTGGAAAATAAAATGAGGGAGGTCGAGGCTGCTTTCACCACTGAGCGGGAACAATGGCAGGAGCGAGAAGCTGAGCTCAAAGCTGAACTGGCCTCTCTCGAGCGACATCTCCAGGAGAGTAAGGAGAAGGAGAGCCTCTCAGTCTCCTTAGAGAAGTGCCTTGAAGAGAGCAAAGAAAGAGAAAAGAGTCTGATTGAAGAGGCTTCAAAGAGGGAAACCCAGTTCAAAGAACTCCTCAGAAGTCTTGAAGCCGAAAAAGATAATCTGGAGGAGCGTCTGATGAACCAGCTGGCTCAGCTCAATGGAAGCATCGCTGGCTACCAGCAGGAGGCAGCTGAGAACCGGGAGCACCTCACCGAGCTGCAGCGGGAGCTCGAAAGGTTAGAGAGGGAAAGAGCCGAACTCGAAGCTGAGGCTCGGAGCGAGAAAGACCGAGCTGCCAGGCTGGAAGAGGACATGAGGCAGGCCCAGCGGGAAAGAGCTGAGGCCGAAGCAGAGTCTGGTAAGCAGAGGGAGCTGGAGCAACAGCTGAGGTCTGCTCAGAGGGTCAAAGAAGGCAGCCAGAGCAGAGCACGACAGCTGGAAGAACTGCTGAGGGAGAAACAGCTGGAAGTCCGTCAACTGCAAAAAGACTGCATCCAGTACCAGGAGAGGATCAGCGAATTGGGAAGAGAAGCAAAGGCGCTGCAGATAGGTCACAGTGAGCTCTGCAACAAACTGGAAAAGTCCCAGCTGGAGGCCTCCAAAACTCTAGAGAACCTGAAAAGAACTGAAGCAGAGGTTGCTAGTAATAAATCCCAACTAGATGAGGCCCAGAAACAGGCGAGCGAGGCATTAGCTGCCAAAAAGACCATTGAACAGAGCATCCAGCAGAGAGAGGCTGCTCTAAAAGCTGAAGCAGAGGAAACCCTGGACTCTGTGAGATTCAGGCTGGGAGCTGAGCTGAAGGAGATGGAGCTGAGACTGGAGGAGGCTTATAGAGAAAGGGAGAAGGAGGAGGAAGCTACTCTGGAGGCCAGAGAGATAGCAGAAGACCTTGAGAGAAGAGCCCAGGAGACGCAGGCTCGTCTGGATGAGTCTCTGGCCAGGTTAGCTGCCTTCTCACGCTGCATGTCCTCCCTGCAAGATGACCGGGACCGAGTTGTGGACGAGGCCCGGCAGTGGGAGAGTCGCTTTAATGGTGCCCTGCAGGCGAAGGAGGCTGAAGTTCGAGAGGCTGAAACACGTGCCAAAGGCCTCACGGAACAGCTTCAGAAAGAAACAGCACTGAAAGAGGAACTGCAAGTCACAGTTGAAAGGTAAGAATGTTCCCTTTGAATTTGTCTGTTTTACTGAGTTTTTACATTTTAGCCTATAATCCAGTTTGTTGGTCCTTTTCAGGTTAGAGAAAGCAGACAAGGATTGGCAGCTAAGATTGGAAGAAAGGGGGAAGAAAATCACAGAGACCCAAACTGCTCTGGAGGAGGAGAAGAAGAAGCTTCAGCAAACCGCAGCTGAATTGGAGTCTGCACAAAGTGAAGCTCACACCTTGAAAAATGAAATGGAGAGTCTTCATCAGAGACATCAGGCTCTGGAGGAGGCCGTGGGTAGGCTCCAGGGCGATGTCGAACAGGCCAGGTTGGAGCTACAGGAGAGGGAAGCAGAGGAGAGACGACTTTGTCTGAATGTGGAGCAGCTGGAGACGGACCTGCGATCCTCCAAAGCGCTGACAGAGACCTTACAGGCTGAGTTAAATGAGAAGGAAAGGAGAGAAGTGGAAATGCTTGGAGAGCAGGAGCAGGCTGTTGCTCAGGTATGCATGGACTTTAATTTACTGAAAAATTCAGAGAGAAATGTTGGAGATTCCTAACGTGTGTCATCTATTTCTAAGGCTGCAGACGAGGCAAGGAAAGAGGCCGACAGCAGGGCACGAGAAGCTGAGGAGGAGCTCGAGCAGAGAAGAGGAGAAGTGCGTGATCTGGAGGAAAAGCTGCGAAAAGCTGAGGAAGAGAGCAACAACAGAAAAGCCAGGCTGGACTCTTTCACAAAGGCAATGGGCTCCCTGCAGGACGACAGAGACAGAGTCCTCAACATGTACAAGCAGCTGGAAGAGAAACACTTACAGGTAATGTGTAAAAACAGTACAGACTCTAAGATGTACAGAGCTTGTTTTAGCATGCATTATAATATCTTCATTTTGTTCCAGGTGATGATGGAGAAGGATGGTTTAATCCAAGAGGCGGCAGGAGAGAATAACAGCCTTAAGGAGGAGCTGCGCTCTCTGCTGGTCCAGAGAGACGACTTGTATGCTGAAAGGGCCCAGCTGTCTGCTCAGCTTTATGGATATCGAGATGAACTTAAACAGGTTTTAAGCATGAAGGACTCCCAACACAAACAGCTTTTGGCAGCCCAGAGGCAGCGTATTGTATCTTTAGAAAAGGAACGAGAGGAGTTGGAAAGTCAGTTAAAGAGCCTCAGCACAGTCAAAGAGACCGAAGTGGTGCACAAGGTCGAGAGCGAGACTCTTAGTCAGGCATCTGAGAGGAGGCCTGCATCACAGGTGATGGATGCACCTGGTGCAGAAGTTGAGAAGCTTAGGGAGCAGCTGCAGGCAGCAAGAGAGCAGGGGGCGGCTTTGGAAGAGACTTTACATAGAGAGAGGAAAGAGCACGAGAGCAAGAGCAAAGAGCTAGCAGAGCTGCGATGGGAGGGAGGGGTGATGCGGACAGAGTCAGAGAGCGCTCAGGAGAGGGTGGCGGAGCTGGCCCGAGACCTGCTGGCTGTTGAACAGAAGCTGCTGGAGGAGAAAGAGGTGACAGAGAAGCTGAGACAGGAGAATCAGTCGTTCTCTAAAGCCATGGCTTCCCTCCAGGACAGCAGGGACGAGGCAGTGAACAAGGTCCAAGAACTGAACCACAAACTGGAGGAGATGAGCAAGGCAGGGGGCCACACAGCACACAGCGGCTCTGCAGGCTCCACTGGAGAAGTGTGGGGTCTGAAGAACGCACTACAGGCCCTGCAGAATGACAGGGAGAGGCTGGTGAGTAACCCCAAGTATGACAGATATTAATAGGACATGCTTGAGTTTATATTCTGGTGACATTTACAGAATTTCAACATATTTTTCATTGATTTTTTTTCTTTATGTGCAGCTGGAGCAGCTTAAAGCCCAGGAGTCTGAGCTGAAGAAGCAGAAGTCAGAGCTGGCTCGGCTGGGAGCAGGAGAGCTGATTAAAGTCAGCCAGGAGCTGCTTGAGGAGAAGCAGAAGAGCGAAGACATGCTGGGTGTCATAACGCAGCTGGAGAACATGGTGGAAATGGGCAAGCAGGAAATAGAAACACTCAGGTGACACGACAAAGCAGGAATAGCATTTATTCAGATTTTTGTTGCTTTTAAAGAAAAGGAGACTTAATTCAACTGTAGTATATAGTTTATGCCTCTGTGCTTATATGCTCTTTAAAGCAGGTTTTGTAAACATCATTTGTAGCTTTACAATAATACAATTATTAACCAATCAGTAACCACTGCTATCATTTCACTGTTTAATTAAAGTTCAAACTAAAGTTGAATTAGCTGCCAGTTTCCCATTTATTAACAATGGTTATTATAAAGTGCTCCCCAGAAAGGCACCAATTGATTTTGATTGACTTTTTCAGGCTTGAACGCAGTGATTTGATGGCTCAAGCGGAGCAGCTGAAGCAGCAGACTCTCGCCACGCTGTCAGAGAGGGACCAACAACTGAAGCAGCTCACCGCCATGCTGGAAGAGACCCGGGTGCATAAACCCAAACTCCAGCAGGAGCACTATCAGAGAGAGGTAAGCGCCTAGACATTTGCTTTTGACTCAAAAGGGAAAGCTATAGATTCCCGTGGGATTGTTAAAATATAAAGTGTTTGACTTGTTGCCTTTTAAATTTACACCTAGATCTGCTCATGAGGCCTTGTTATTAGTGTTTCAGCTCAGGCTGTTTTATCTTTGCCACAAATTCCCAGAAGTTGTCTTCTTGAATCATTCGTGTGGCACTTTAGTTATTTAAAAAATGATTTATAAGTTAATTTCCCTCCATGCTTCTTTACTATAAACACAGACTGTACGTAAAAGCTGGCTGTAATTTCTGTGTCTGAAAAGTGAAGCCAGTTTCAAATTACCTGCTTTCTTTCTAATGATCAGCGGGAGGCGACTCCACAGGTTACAGAAAGTCAGCTTGTGTAGATATAAAATATTTTTAATAATAATATTATAAAAGGCAAATATATGTTTGGATTTGTAAAAAAACTGACCACTACAAATATAAAACAAATAAGCGTATAAAAAAACACGACCGCAAAGGAATTAACACAAAATGCACAAACATGTGACGGCAACAACATCGGCCACTTACAAAGGTAACACTCTCACCTCTGCAAAGATTGCCCATAGAAGTCTGAATCGGGCATGTGAGAAAATCACGTTATTGCTCACTTAATTATCTTGCCTGTGTTTTTTTTTTTTCTTAACTCTTGCTGACAGGTTTATGGCCCCAGTATCAAATTTTAAGACAACAGTGCGCTTCTTTTGTAAATGATGGTCCTCATTAAAGTCAGAAAGTAGGATAAAACAAGATCGACATGTCAGACAAATATGTGATGTCATGAATATAAACTGTGGACATGCCAAACCACAGGATAGAGATGTTAGACTTCATGTAAAAGTCAAGGTCAGGTTTATTTGTATAACACATTTAAAACAACAGAGCTGACCAAAGTGCTGTACATTAAAAGTGTGTAGCACCAAAAGGAAAAGAGAAACAACAAATTAAATGGAAACTGACAATAAAATGCAGTCATCTATCAGGATGTCACACTGGAGCCAAATGCCAAGGGGAATAAATGTAGATTCGTTGTCTTCTGCAGGGCGCAGAGGTGCTCTCTAGCGCTCCTGGCGCCCCTCAGGAGCGCAGCAGCCTAATCGAGAGCCACACCTACATGGCTGAGGTCAAAGAGCTACAGCGGAGGTACTGTGAGATCCAAACCTTTAGAAACGTGTGAATATGGCAGGCTGGGAAGCATGAACACTGATTTTTAATTTCTGATTTTTTTAAATCAGACTGGATGAAGAGACGCAGCAGAGGATGGCTGTCGAGGAACAGCTGATGGCCACGCAAGACCGACTCAAACGGTATGAACTTCAGTAGGAGATAATCTCATACTGGAAGTTGAAGGTGCTATAAGAACATTATGTTATATTTATACTAGATGATATGAGGATGGACCAGTTCCCTGCAGCTCTGCGGTGCTTACTGGTGTCTCTTAGCAACTCTTGTCTTTAAGTTTCCTGTTTTGGTTTGGTGTAATCGCAGGCAAGGACGGGTAAACTTACCAGCCTGCTTGTAAATATGTGGGGGCACATAGATGCTAAAGAGGTTGTCTAAATAGGCTTATTAGAAGAAGAAGGTTAACTGGTCGAGGTCATTATCAGGGATGAAGTGATTTAATTTTGGAGTCAACCCAGTGTTGATATCAAGGGAAGGATCAGGAGAGTCTTACTTATTCGCTTAGGTCAGTCCAGGTGGTTATACTCCATGTTGCCTCAGTTACATGTTTTTAATTGTGTGACGCCGTTATTAAGAATCAGCAAGCAATCAGCAAACAAGGCACGTTTGCATCTGAATCTCTCCTTTTTTAGCTGCGATAAATTTGCTCCATCGACAGCGATGACAGCTAACTTCTGTTTTTATTATTATTAGCCACGGCCAGGCTAAATGGCACTCTGCACTGGACGGGGATTCCTCGGAGACTGCCGTTTTTATCGAGCCGCCGGAAGGAGCTGTCACTCGAGTAAGGCGCCGCTAATGTTGTCCCGCACCTCATCTGTCACCCTAATAACCGTAATAATAAAGACTTACGAGCTCAATGTTTCCCTTCACCTTGTCTCTCTCCTCTGCTCTCGCAGACCCGGAGAGGCGGTCCCGGTTTGATGCGGATGCTCCGAGTGGCCTTCTGCTCCCGTCAGCGCACGCCTCTGCTGCTCAGCCTCTACCTGCTCACTGTGCACGTCCTGCTGCTGCTGTGTCTGGGTGGATACCTCTGAAACCAGCTCCCTTTATAATAAACCTGACAGATAAGACGTGGGGAGAAACTGTAATGTGACCCAAACCATCGCTATGATTTATATTGTTACAGGAATTAATGAATTAAAGAAGGGCACAAACAAACAAACGTTGCACTTTACAGAAGTTTACCTTTTAGCCAAAGCATTTAGATTCATAAAGGGAGCGGATACCTTCGATTATAACTGTTTGGTCCTAGTACATTGAGTGTGAATGGTGTCTTTTGAGCACCGAAGCAGAGGAGAAATAAAGGGACCACAGCACATAAAGAGTTTTAGGGGAAGAGTAGATCCAGAGTTGTTTTAGGAGACCGTGTTCGTCTTGTGCCTTTACATGTGGATAAGCTGTGTGTAAAAGAGAATGCAGTCTGTGAGTATAACCTGAAAGGGTCACTTTAAGTTTAACATTTTGGAAAGTGTGCTTTTTAGCTTTCTGGAAGAGTGTAGAGGCTCTGAAATGACTCAAATCTAATCCCAGAGTTAGTGACTGATGCCAAAGTCCTTCTAGACGAAAGCTATGTTGAAACACATCTGGGCACTTATCTGAGCATTATCGAAAGCATTATTGAGGGGCATGTCTGTCTGATCATTTATAGCATCTGTATGCAATCTAAAATAAGGCTAACTTATAGAAAAGGTGAAATGGTTGTGGAACTTTCCTATCAGCTGATTAAAACCCCTCATATATATCTAAATCTCTGTATGTAAGTAGTAAAAACCCCACAGTGTAATGACAGCTCTCTGTTTTGTAAGCTCTGAGCTGTTAATAGCCAACCAGAGAGAAAGAAAGCTGTGACCAAGAACCAGATGTTTTTATTGATCAGATGAACCACATGTAACCTGTTAATTGCTAACTGCCTGCAGCGTAAACGCAGGGATTTTGTGGAGCTAACTCCACCAGAAAGCGTTAAGCCTCTTTCTCCAAATGCCGGCTCTTCTTTTACGATGGCTTGAGGTTCAGGGCGTGCTCTTCTAGTCCAGTCTCTTCCTTATCTGTTCGTTTCATGCACAAAAATGGAGCGCAGTGCAATTTGAGTTACTTACACATTCCTGTATTATGCTGTCCTTTCTTTCCTTTTTTCCTAAATGGGACATTATATTAATATTTGTACATATGAACATGCGTCGTGTGGGGTTTTCCTCTTACATGTCCAGTATGATTCCCACTCCATGCTTCTGCTGCAGATTTAGATTGTTCACAGTTTGCTCTGTACTTTTGATGGCAGATGAAGATGAAGTTGCCTTCAGGTGCAATGTTACCACAGTGAGGAAGACTGCTGTGATTTCTAATGATATCCGTCCCATTATATTATGGACTTAACCGGATGTAGCATAACTTATATCGGAACCCTCACCCTCCTCACCCTCTGTTTAATCATTGTGTTGGTGAAACTCTTTACATTGCTTCACACCTTAAACACACACCTGCATTTGTAAATAACTGTTGAAAGGGCTGTGTAGGATAATAAAGTGTCATAAAGTGTTGGTGGTTTAGAATCAGGTCTCTTCAAGAATGGATCCATTTTCCTGTTAGACAGTGGGCGGTTTTTAATTTACCCTGGTTTACCCTTTATTTGGGCTTTGTTAGTTTTAAATCACTTTCTTTACTTTTACATTCATAAAATGATTCTAAATAATTTGGTTATTATATTGGAAAGCCTGTTTACTCGACCATTATCATCTTCTTCTTCTTCTGAGAGATCAAATGAAGCTCAGGTCCAGGCCAGCTGAGAGAAATGGTGGCACACTGTAACTTTTTTGAAATGCCCACATAATCTATAAAACACTAAAACTGCTTTTCTTTATGGGAGGAGGATCTGTATACACTCACTGTTACTGCTGACACAACAATCACAGCTTTTAATAAAGATATTTTTAAATGTAAGTGACGTCTGGGTGAAAGTTTTTTGCCTCTAGCATTTTTTTTTCTTGTAATAAGTCAGGGACTAAAAGACAAAATAAACAATAACCTGTTTCTGGTACTTAGAAATGATGCACATAATTTATTTAATCAGTAATTTTAAGCAAAATCTGCTTCTCTTGTAGGTCTACAGATGCTTTTGTGGATCTAACAGAATAAAGACCCAATATTTCACAGACATTTTCAGACATCTGAATATTGGAGCTTTAAATAATGAATGTTTTATTAAAGTTGAATTGTAAGGTGAATATATGTGTCAAAATGACCAACTTAAATGGAAAAATGAGCTAAATAAGTTAGAAATTAAATCATGAAATAAAACATTCTTTAAACAGGTGCATATAATGAAGACTTTAATATTTTAAAAGTAAGTAAAACACTAAAAGTAATACAATTATCCATTTAAATATGAAAAATGCTCAAACTTCAATTAGACAATTTATAAGGTAAAATGTGGACACTTTATTAGGCACACCTTGTTGGTACCAGTTTGGAAACTGTTTTGTCTTCAGAGCTGACCTAATTATTAATTTCACAGATTAAACAAAGTGCTGAAAACATTTCTCAAAGATTTTGGTCCACATAAACATGACTGACACAGTTTCTGCAGAATTGTCCGCTGTACATCCATTATAGACATCCCAAAGTTTCTCTTGGTTCTAGATCTGGTGACTGTGGAGACCATTTGAGTAGCGGGAATTCCCTGTCAGTGTTCAAAAACAAAGTGTGAGATGATTTGAGCTTTGTGACAATGTGTAAACATGTTGAACCCCAGTCCTCGAGGGCCAGCATCCTGTTTGTTTTTGAGATATCCCTGCTCTACCTGCTGCCGATTACCTGGATCAGGTGTGCTTTGCCAATAAGAAGCTACAAGGGCAGGTTAGTTGGAAAACAAGCAGGACAGCGACCATTGAGGCCTGTAATTCGACACCTGTGAGCTAAGCTGAGCTTGAATGATGGTGGCATACCTCCTGTTACACTGACTCACTGCACCATCTTGTGGTTCTCGGTGGTATTACACGAGAATACAGCCCAGTCTTAATGCGCCGTTCACGCTCACATCTGCACAATGACACTTAGAAATCTTGCAAATAAGGTCACAGCTTTTGTTTCTTGACATTATTTTTGTAGATTTAGTTTATTTTAGGTGTTTGACTCACTTTAAAACTGGTTTTATTACTTTTACTATGTAGGAGCGTTTTCGTTTGCTGACGTTGTATAGGGAGGTGCACCAGGATGCATTGCTTGCTTTTTGGTAACGGGATTGATTATTTTTCCCGAATACTTTAGGACCTACCCTCCCATTTCGCACCAGTGGCCCTCTGAGATTGGTTTTGACAAGCAGAAACTGCAAACGCTTTTAACCAACCCCATTTTTATTATTGAGGCATAGACAGACTCCAAAAGTGAGTGCTCATTATCATTTTTCCCAGCTGTTTTAAGTTGTGTAAGCCCCCAAATGTTGCAACTGCACCACAGCAGCTGGTCTGTAATCAGTCTACTTAAATCGGTCTTTAGCTTGGAAAACATAAGAGGAGATTTTTATGACCTGAAACTGTTTAAGAGCGCATGTCTGGTGGACTTTCTTTGATTCCGGACGGTACTTGAATGCAGCACTTCACTATCTATATATATTTTTAAATCCCTACAATTAATTTAAACGCTTATATATGAAAAAGAAAAGAAAACGGCCACGCTGCTGTCAGGTATGAACTCTTAAATCCCCAGGGCAGACAGGGGCGACACTTGTGCAGGTATTTTCACCAAAGCGCGCTCACGTGTGCTAGATCCGCGTTCACTCCTCGCCCGTTAGAGTGCGGCGACTCGTGCAAAGACCCCGCAGGACCGCTTACTGTTGCACATTATTCATCTAAACACGGGCAAACTGCGCAACAACTGAAAGGTAAAGATCTTATATTTGTATTCAAAGTGAAGCCACTAACAAGCCAGCGTCTAACTTTCCTCTGTTAATATTTCCGTTAAATTAAGGAAGTAGATGTAAGCAGTCGCAGTTTAAAGTGCTGCACAGTGAAACGTTAGTAGCGACAAATGTGACTTAACAGCCTCATGTTTTCAGATGCGAAGCATTTGAATGACATAAAAGTGATTAAATAATACGGGAATAACCTATTTTCTGCTTTTAACTCAGTGTTTACCTGAACTGTGTGTCCAATATTAAAAATAACAAGCCCAGCATTACTGAGACTGTCATTACTAGCCTAGAATTACCATTTATGGCAATAAAAGTGGCATAAAAATATAATTAAAGATAAATTGTAGCCAGCTACTGAAAAAGACTTCATTTTTATTAGATTATCTGCTTCCCTCACGACATAAAATCTCTCATTTCCACCTTATTAAAGATGATTTTAACATATGCAGTGCATAATGTTCTTAAATAATATATTATAATGCAGCTTTTTCAGTGTTTTAGTTACATGTTTTATAAGAAGAGTGTATGTTCTTTTTGGGGAAATGAACCATCACGTTCAGAATAACTTCCTTTTTGAGACTTGAGCAGAGTTTGGTCAGAGCTTGTGGTTGTGCGTTAGTTTATTTTTAGTGATCACCTAAACAGAGAATAATCATTTTAATGCACGAAGGGGTCGTTGATCTTTATTGCATCTGTCCTTTGTGGCTCACTGTGTTTTAATCTCCCACCCCCAGATGTGGAAGTCAGTGGTGGGCCACAATGTGAGCATGAAGGTGGCTGGAGAGGGGGATGACTGGGAGACGGACCCTGACTTTGAGGTACTGTGTACTTCCTGGAGTGAGCGTCACTGTAGGGAGGGTTGGGTAGACACCCCTGCGTCAATCATTTCTGATTTTGTGTTTATGTGTGTGTGTGTTTTTTAGAATGACGTGTCAGAGCAGGAGCAGAGGTGGGGGGCCAAAACCATCGAGGGCTCAGGACGTAAAGAACACATCAGGTGAAAAGACGTGCAGCCTGTTCCTGGAAATATTTTTTTTATAGTGCACGTAGATGAGTTCAGGACATAGTGGGTGCTGTGCAGCAACAGGAAGAGGAAGTGAGAGCACAGCGTAAGCTGTCAGGCCGCGAGTCTTTCCTAATATGGATAATGTATGATGATGGTGATGTTGACAACTCTTTGACAGTGATATTTAAACCTCTGCTGACCGGGTGGGACAGATTTTGTATCAATTGTGGCTTATTCAGGGTCAATAATTCACTCATTAATGAATATTTGGTAACCTTCAAAGTTGCTGTGGATCCTCATCAAGCAGAAAACTTAATTAATCTTCTAAGAGAGTGTTGTGGTTAGTTAGACAGACACATGACCCACCCTATTGGGAAAACCCGCCCATTAGCAGTATCCATGTACTCAGAGCTTCTGAGCATTTGTGACCTTGAATTTGTGGCTCGTAAGAGATTTTAATATTGGAACAGATTAAGAGTAAGCAGCAGAGGAACAACTACTATACTAACAGTTTAAAATTACCATGATGAGTGTATCAGTGTTAGTGATTGAGTTCGCAATAGCATGAACGCCGTCTGTTTCACTATTCATGTGTTTTGGCCCCTGCAGTGTTGCAGAGCTCAGAAACAAGGTCACTGAGGAGCATGAGAAAGTGAAGCAGAAGGAGAACATTCCCAAAGCATCGTACGGATATGGAGGGAAGTTTGGAGTGGAGACGGATCGAATGGACAAGGTTAACACGTTTTTCTCATTGAAATCGGAATTATGGTGATATGCTTCTATCATTTACTGCGACTCCTCTTTACCCTCGACTCTGTGAACACCATTTCTTTAAACGGTGTCCTTTTTGTTTGAACGGATGTGTCTCTGCTGTTCAGGTGGCTCTGGGTAGCGACTATGTAGCAGAGGTGGAGAAGCACTCTTCCCAGAAAGATGCAGCGAAAGGGTTCGGAGGGAAATATGGTGTTCAGAAGGACCGCGTGGACAAGGTGAGAAGACAAGCAGACTCTTTCACAATAGGCAACAATAAGTAAAAGGGAGCACACTGCACCCACATTAACATCTTTTCTTTGATATTCTGTAACTCAGATGTGATTTAAATGACATGATGAGGTCTCCGTCTCTTCTGTGTTTCTGTCTGCTGCTCTATGCCATCAAACAACAGGATTCATTCAATTCAATTTTATTTATATAGCGCCAAATCACAACAACAGTTGCCCTAAAGGGCCTTAATTATAAGGTAAAGACATTACAATAATACAAAGAAAACAAAGAAAATCACTACATTCATATGACCCACTGTGAGCACGTGCTTTGGTGACAGTGGGAAGGAAGAACTCCCTTTTAATTGGAACAAACCTCCAGTAGAGACTGGCTCATGGAGGGGCGGCCATCTGCTGTGAACGGTACAGTTAAAACTGGGATCTATTATACTTTCCATTGTTTCTATTATACCTACATATACTGGTGGATACTCCTTTTAAACATGGTCAAAGTTAGCCAATCAGAAGCTGACTTTAAAGGAAAGGGATCAATGATAGCCTGTTTTTACGACAAATAGAGAAATGAGACTCAGTTTTTATGGGAAGGGGGCTCCAGCAGAGGCAGGTTCAGTGAGGGGCAGCCATCTGTTGTTGGGGTGTGAGGGGAAGGAGAGGAGAGGACATGGAGTAGTGACATATAAATGCATCGGTAGTGGAAAAGAAGAGCTCAGTGCATCATGGGAAGTCCTGTAGCATCCTCAGCTTTACAGCATCTGTGGGTGAGGCTTCATTGTCACCTGATCCAGCTCTATTTATTAGCTTTGTCAAAAAGAAAAGTTTGAACCCCAATCTTAAAAGTAGAGAGAGTGTCTGTCTCCTTAATCCACACTGGGAGCCTGTTCCACAGCTGATGTTTCTTCAGTAAGAAAAGTTCCACACATACGATGCTTAATATTTATTATGATTTCAATCTTTGTGCAGTCTGCCGTCGGCTTTGAATACAAAGGAGAAGTGCAACAGCATGGATCTCAGAAAGGTACGTCCACTGTCCTGCATCTGTCATTCACTATTCTCCTATCAGAAGTTTGTCTAAATCTTACATTCTTATAACTCACTGCTTTAGATTACTCAAAGGGATTTGGAGGAAAGTACGGTGTCGAGAAAGACAAAGTGGACAAGGCGGCTTTGGGGTACGACTACAAGAGTCAGACTGAGAAGCATCAGTCTCAGAAAGGTGAGTTCAGGTTGTAGCAACTGTCTCTTTTTATATTATGTGCTTTATATTTGCTTTTTTTATGCATTTGAAATTTATGTTCACCAGACTACGCTAAGGGATTTGGAGGGAAATACGGGGTGGAGAAGGAGAAGGTAGACAAAGCTGCCGTGGGGTATGACTATAAAGGAGAAACAGAGAAGCATCAGTCGCAGAAAGGTGAGTTAAAATTGCAGCTTTTGCAGGTTCGGCCACCGTTTTTTTCATGACACTTGATTGCTTTATTCTGTGCAGATTACTCAAAGGGATTTGGAGGAAAATTTGGTGTTGAGAAGGAGAAAGTCGACAAAGCTGCGTTGGGGTACGATTACAAAGCTGAGACGGAGAAACATCAGTCACAAAAAGGTTAGAGGAGAGAGCCACGGATGTGTTATTTACAGGAACAGACTTCCTGTATTCATCACACTGATGAAGTGCTTCTGTGTTCAGATTATTCAGCAGGTTTCGGTGGCCGGTATGGCGTACAGGCAGACCGCATGGATAAGGTCAGCATCAAGGATGAAATTCTGTATTATTGTCTTTGGATTCATTGTTTAATCTGGAATAAAATGGAAAGTAGCCATAACATCTTGGGGATAATTAACACTTTGGAAAAAGTGAGGCACACATGCTAAATGTTGGAATTAACATCGATTATTTCTGTTTTCATTTTCATAAAATGAACTTAAAAATGTTTTAATACCTACCTAAAACCTTAAAGCCATTCTCCACCACTGTACATCTTATTCTTAGCCTGAATAGTCTGCTTGTTCTGTATAACCAGAATAAACATTCTTATTTATGAGACCAATGCTGGTCTGTTCCCATCTTACTCACTGATTTGACTTTCTGTCAAAAAGGTAAAGGATGTTATTGTATTCACACAGTGGTGGATCTAGAAAATTTTACATGGGGGGCAAAGGAAGGGCAAGAGGTCTAGGGTGGCACATACCTCTTCAGTTATATGTAGTTGGGCCAGTTGCCCCCTTTGCCCCCCTGTAGATCCGCCCTTGTCTTTACAGCCCAGCCTGTTTCATATTGAGATGGTGACTGTTTGGGTCTTCTTCCAGACCTTTACAAAGTGGTGACATATCTAAATAACTTGTACTTAGACACAACTGAACTGATGTCTTGTCATGTTCAAAGTCACCTTTGGCACAACTTGTTAAAAGATTTAAGTGAGTGGGCCTGAACCTTACTACACCCCCATCTGGCCTGAGGCGACACTGACAGTTACCGATGCTTTATTGTATACTTTTTTTGTATATGTTGTTGCTGTGTAACCACTGTTGATTCTTAGCCAAGGAACTTCTGCAAAAAAAGATTTTTAATCTTAAGCAAAAGCATTAAAAAAACCCAAAAAAACATCAAACATCTTGCTTCTTGGGACTTTGATCACATTTTTAGCTCCACTTATTTTGTGGTTTAGCCCGAGTATCAGAGGTCCCCAGTAACAGATTGGCCCAGATGTGCCCACATCATCAGCTGAAATAAGGCTGTTTCATAGCCTGTACATCATCCTGACCTGACAGGAACAGACAAGCAGCAGATTGTCAAACCTCCAGCTTTTAATTTTTAATTTTGATTTATTTCCTGCCAGTCAGTTAATCGCCTGCTTGAGTATTCTTACAGCTGTAGCCGTCATTATTGAAACATGATATCTGTAGTGACAATTCAAACTTCTGAAAAATAATTCTTTCTCTCTATTATTAACCTCCAGAGTGCAGCAGGCTTCACAGACATGGACTCCCCGACCTCTGCATATAAAAAGACACAGCCAGTAGAGGCTTGTAAGTTCATTTGTTTCTCCAACATAATCACTCACACTCTGCCGTCTGTCTGGCAAGCAATTAAATCCACAACTGTTCAATGGTTTCCATGATGCACTGCATTCACATTCACTTTGGATTTTATTATGCAGCGAGTGCAGGTGCAGGGAAACTGAAAGCACGCTTTGAGAATATGGCCAAGGCTTCTGATGAGGAGAACAGGAAGAAAGCAGAAGAAGAGAGAGCGAGGAGGCAAGCCAGAGAGAGCCGAGAGCGAGAGGAGGCCAAATGCAGACAGCAGCAGGTGCGCTGCGCTGCAAAAATGTAAAGAGCTACAAGGTGAGCTGTTTTCAGCTCACGTGATTGATGTTCTTTCTTTTAGGAGGAAGAAAGAAGAAGAGAGGAGGAATCTCAAGTAGCACCAGTTCATCATGTTGATCCAGAGGACGATATGCCAACACCAGAAATCCACCGTCGCACTCCAGAGATTCAGAAAGAGCCGGAGCCAGAGCCAGAGCCAGAGCTGGAGCCGGAGCCAGAGCCAGAGCTGGAGCCGGAGCCGGTGGTGAGAAACACATATGAAAAATCAGATGTACCAAATAACAACTCGTGTTTAAAACATGGGACTCATATTCACCCATCTTTCCTCCAGCATGCACATATTTATATATATTTATATGTTTTTGTATATATAGGTATACATATACCTATATATGCAAAAAACTTGAATTTTACTATGTTTATTTATCGGATAAAATAAGTTAAATGTCACCGTTATTATAACAGCAGGGGTGTCCAAATTCAGAGGCTGCATCCACCTGAGGACCCGGGCTTCGTGGTCCTCAGGTGCCGGGCAACCGGAAATGAGCGATGGTGAAATTGGACGGTCTAGCCTTCAGAACTACGTCACGAGCTCTCTCGGTGCAGTGAAACTCTGCCGTCTGCTCCTTGCTGTCTAAATAATAACCAGACGCTGGCGTAAATTCTCTACCATCTCACATTTCTGTTTAATCACTTTTCTGTTTGACATTTATTCAGCTGTGTGAAAACCCCGGAGGAACCCTCCCGAGGGATTAATAAAGTTTTATTTAATCTAATCTAATCTAATAACTTTAATCTCAGCCAAACCTATTTACTCACGAACAAATAAAACACTGAAAAAGGCCACACAATAACATGTTTAAGTTATCTAAGTGACTTATATATCATGTTTAAGCTGAGTAGCAAAAGGCCGCGGGGGTTTGAAAACGATGTGCCGGGAGTTTGTTGTTCTCGCCGGCTCAGATATTTGAAGTTTACACAGCTACATTCTCGCCTGAAAATATGTTAAAAGTTTATTTTGCGACCCAGAAAGATTAATAAGAGTAATATTAAAACTAAGTGGCTGCAGTAGTAGTAGCCATTGTTGGAAACTGGCATTGGCTGGGCCAGTCTGGGATATGGTTTTTCAATTTTGTTGTCCGGATGGAAAATCGGGAGAAATTCGGGAGAATGGTGGCTCCGGGAGATTTTCGGGAGGGGCACTGAAATTCGGGATTCTCCTGGAAAAATCAGGGGGTTGGCATGTATGCCAATCCATGACTGATAGTGTTTGGTTGTGTGCATTGTGATTTATCCAGGTATGCGGGTATTTCAGATACTGTCCATCTGCTGTGGATAGTTGTTTAGATCTGCCACTTCTTTTCTTTTGCCCTCCACATTTCCAGTTTCCTCAAATTTTTAAGGACACATACTATCACATACATATACTGCACACCATACTATCAAGATATTCTGTGTTTTTAGCTAACAGCTCTTTGGGAATCAACCTTATTGGTACAAAGATACTATTCAAGACTGTCAGACTGTCGTATCGTTGGAATTTTTCAGAAATTCATTAAAGAAATGGAGACAAATTATGTGTTTTTGTGACAAATGTGTTTTTAGGCAAAGTCACCATTTAAAACCGGTTC